TTTAAAACCATTTCAAAAAGGAAACCAAGAGGAGGTGTGAGGTGGAAGTCGTATTAAACTAATTCCGTGTAGTTCATCTAGCTACTCAACATAATAGTAAAGTTAGCTGCAATACATTGAAGCCTAAACATATACACACTTTCACATGCAATGTGGTATTTAAAATGCTTTATTCCCCCTGCAGAATGTGTAGACCTTCTAAATGGAATTTTGACTAGTATAAATAAGGAGGCAATTTCCACTGCAATCTACAGTCTGATGGATGCAAAGGTTAGTGCAAGATTAAGTTTTGTTCTCCCACGAGGATATTATTACCTGATCCTTTCAATTGCAATCTTTGTGGTCCGTAACCAGCAAAGGTTTTATCTTCATTGTTTTGTTGGACACGCCAGAGATCTGGAGAGTACCCTTTGGCACTTTAGGTTCATTCAGGAATTGTAGAAAATAGATTTTGTGAGGTTCTCTAGGAACCGTGTCAATTGCTAACTGTGATTATAATAATATGATGCCTTCTTTCTAGTCACCAGCTGTAGTCTGACTGGTAAACCCTTGTGAGTGAGAACAAATATCAGCCTCAGGTAGGTCAGATTAAGACTAGAACGAAGGCCAATTTTTGTGGTATGTACTGGTAAGGAGACATTTACTCCAAAACCTGGACAGCATTAGTACCTGCTGCAGCAATACTAGTATCAGCACTTTTCTTCTATGCTTCACTGCTTCTAAGTTGATGTGCTTCGGGCACAACATGCCGCTTGTCCTAGGGTCTAAGTCTCTGATACCACAGGAATGGATGGGCAATGGCCAGCAAATGAGGGATACAGCTAATTCCATGTATGTCTACATTGCCATGGGAAATCTGGCACAAATCTAACTGCCACAACTATAGCTATATCCTATCTAGCTAACTTAGATAGTCATAGTGGGGAATTAGTGACGCATGCCTCAGCCCTTGAACAAGTATTCCGACTCCATCTGGATTTACACAACCCATGCTGTGGTACTGGTTTAATTTCTGGTCTTATGTTAATGCATGCTGGATTATTTCTACATGTTGCAATTACAGTCTGGGATTAAAAAACAGATTTGATCAATGTTTTAATAGGTGGCATAGCTATAGTCCAAGTAATTTTTACTACTGTTGAAGTTTATTTAGGACTGTATGGACAAATATTCCATAATCTAATGTTTCAATCTCCCTTGAGCAAGGTTTTATTTTTCTATTTCCTAAATTAACAAAGAGCGCTATTGTTCAAACAACTGAGCTGACAATATGTCCAAAATGACTGAAGATGCTACTGGAAACTCCTGAAAACGGATTGATTCATAACTGTTGAAGTATATAAATTTTTTTAAAAAAAAAAAAAAGTTGAACAAATCTGCTGCAGATGTACAAAATGGAAAAAGGTTACATTATTGACACATCCTTATTGCAGACAGTTTGGCATACTAAACACGGGATGGCCCTGCTGTTTGGATACTTAAAGGAAAACATGTTATAGCTAGCCCCATCTCTCTCTCAATATAGGGCTATTTTCATCTTCCCCTGCATGACTCAAAACTGGATTTTAAAATAAATTTGAAACAGCAGAAACAGTAACAGGGTAGAGGTTGTGTCATATTCTATGGCTATGCATGTGTTAAAATGCAAAATTGCTCTGTGCCATTCAATATTACTGTATATCAGCATACCTGGGAGTATAATATACGTTGTCAGTATAAATTCTTGCTCCTAACAACTGAATTGAACACAGCATATGTATACTTACTAGAGTTACTGTGCTTTTTTTCCAGGAGAAAGCACTTAATGCATGCAAAGGTTCAGAAATATACACGTTGCAGACAGGCATATGCAATTCAGAGGTGAGTACACAGCATGCATTTGAGAGTCTTACAAGAACACTTCGTAAGCTGCTTGTTTCTCCTGCCAGCCCTGACAATGCATACCAAAAACACTGCAGGGCAAAACGTCCCTAACAACGATAACTCAGTCCAGTTAACCACCAAACCTACTGTTTTACCTTCTTCCAAGCAGCTGACTCTGATGTTGTTTCTGCAAAAACAACCTCCTCCACTCAAGAGTTGCTTTGAACCTCTCCTGGAAGAGGTCCTAATGAAACAGCAAAAATTTAACCTTTCTTGTAGTGTTTTCAAAATGATGGCTGGAAAAAGATCTAGGCTGAATTCTAGCATTTGCAACCAATTTTCTTAGAGCAAGGCCAGCTGCTTTGGGATAGCTCCAAAGTACAGTTAACTCCCATTTTCAAAGCGATTTTGGCACTTGCGGCAGGCCTGCCAATACTGAAAGACGGAGACAGAACTGAAGCTCACATACCTGGATCAGAGCCAGCTTTAAACAGCTCAGGTTCCAGTGCTACCAGGGGTGCTGGCAGCACAGGCTGCAGAAGCAATCTAGGACTGCAGCAAAACCTCGGACAGTTAGCCTATGGATCTGTGCTGCCGCAGTGACCCAAGGTAATGAGCTAAAGTGGAATTAAGTATGTCTATAGGCTCAAGAGCTGCGTACGCACCCTGCCCTGCACTGTGATACTACTATTCCAAGAGAAAACTGCTTAGAAAAGGTTTGGGAACAAGCTTTGAAGAAGATAATTCTTCTCTATTTTGCTCTTTTTCAGGTCATCTGTCCACCAAAACCCAACCACGTAATCAGCAAGAAAATTCCTTTTGTAGTACCAAGCGCGTCAACTATTCTACTTGATAGCAGCACAAACAATGCAAGAAGAGAAAATATTCTTGAGACAGGTCTGTCAAATGCTATCACACAGAATATAACAACAAAGAAAGGTCTCTATCAGCTCAAACTAAACTAAAAATAGGATAAATATTACCAGTTGTTCCATATCCACATGTTCTTTTCCAAGTAAAATTGTCCCTTCTCAGAGTACAGCTGTGCCCTCTACTGGTATTATCTGAAGTGTGAGTTCACTGCAGAAAACCAGAGATGCAACTATACATCTTTTGATTAAGTGTATAGATTAAAAAGCCTCTTTTGGTTAAAAAAAGAAAAATTTTTTTTTTTTTTTTAGAACCCTGACCTGTAATGTACAGCTGCCTTTCCTTGGCACATCAAATATTGCCTGTTGCTTTTGACAGAACAAGTCCTTCCTGGGAACCAGTACTGCAGTTTCTATTGACATGTGCCACCAAGAATAACTATTTTTTTTTAATCTGCTAATAAAAAAAGGAGATATGTTTTAAAAATATGCGTCTCCACATCTCCTGTGTCTCCAGGAACACAGGAATCATTCCTGGTAATCACCATTCCTATATAATTTCCTTTGTCTTTCTGATGTGGATTTGTCCTGTCAAAGTGTTTAAATTTGTGTCAAGAAGTGATATATTTCCTTTAAAGCTTTTTCTGTGCTCCTCGTGCCTTTGGATACAAAAGTTGAGGCATAGGAAATCAATTCTCTTACAGCAACATCTGCATTTCCAAGCATTTTAGTTCTGATCAATAGCTGTAAGACTTACAGACAGAACAGAATGTTCCATAACTTCAGAAATGAATTCCTACAGACAGTTTGAAAAAGTCAGATGTGTGTAGTACTATATGCCAAAATCTTCTGAGGAATAATGATCATTAACAAGGGCATAAAGAACAGCTAGTAATAAATAAGCGCTCTCAAGTTAGTTTTCATTTCAGTTGCAGTCTTCTGCAGTGGTCGACATATATCTAATGTTCTGTTGTTGCAAGGGTCTCATCTTACTCATCTTAAACTTCTCCCAGATCACCCAGGCTCTGACAGTAGAAAATCGAATTCCTTTTGTACGATTCCCTTACCTGGTTCAACTGCAGGCAAAGAAAGCAATCAGCATGAGGACCCACCACTGGCTCTTAAGCACAGACCACAACCTACGCAACTTGAACAAGCGGTGACAGGTAAGACCCCATTTCCAGTTTCAGGTGGCAATATTCTCTTTGGCCAGATCTTAGTGATTAAATTACTCAAAGTTTGGAGGACGCAGAGTCCTCTAAATTTTGTGTACATTTTCAGGTGTATTTCGTAAATTTCGTTTACGCTATTTCAGGTATTATAACCCCTCCAAACTTGATACAAATGTCTCTTGAGTATATTTGTGTGTAGCTGCTCCTACCTTCTCAGAAGTTCAGGCACTGGCCACTGAGAACACTGGCTCGTTCTTTCCCAGGGTCACATTCAGGCTGAGAACAGTCCTGAAAAGACCATAATAAAAATACAGAAAATATAGCACACATTGAATGTGAAATACATTAGTTGTTTAAGTCTGCAAATATATATATATATATATATTAATTTTAAGCTGTGTATTTCATACCTCTACAGAAGTAGTTATTGACTACAGAAACAGGTGACTCGGAGGAGGGGAGGACCATTCATTTCCTTACGTACATGGTCTCAGTTCTTCCTACTGAACAGAGGCAGAACAGGCCAGCTTCCGATTTTTGAAGCCTGCCTCTGCCTGTAGGTGCAGCTTTGTGAGCTTTTTTTGCAAGCTGGCCTATGACAGCTGTCACATCTAGCCGGCCATCCTCTTCCACTTCCATTTACTTCCGATTGATGATGTAATTTCTGCATAAATCAACAGACGTGTTCATGCAGGAAAAGTTCATCACAGAACTCCACTGGCAACAATTGCGAATCAGAATGAGAGAGGCATGGTTTTCAAAGCGACAATGGCTTTTGGTTATTAATTTTCTCTTGGTTGTATGGTATTTGCTGTACACTAAAAACCCTAATGTCAGTATTAAGTATTCGAATCAGTTTGTAAAGAGACAGAACCCAAAGCTCTTGATAATTTTGCCAAGAGTATTACTTTTGTTACTAGTTTGGCTTTGACATACATTCAAGTTCCCAGTTTCAAACAGTCCTACTACCCTGAACCCCCAATTACCTGTTCTTCCACTTTCTACAGGACAAAGCTTTCTCATCTATGTCGAGCCAAGCTGCTTTGCATAAAGTTTGATACAGATGCTAGATGAACAGTGCGAGACCTGAAAATCTCCTCTCCTTACACAATCTGAGCACTTAATAATCTTTAGAAACACTTATTTTCTGTAATCTGATCATCATGAGTTTTGAACAGAAGATAAAAGTACATTGGACTAGTTTTGAACAAAGAATGCAAATAAACTAACTCTTCCTCCTTCTTTACTGAGTTTATATTTCTGGTGTTGATGCTGTTGTTGATGCAACAACTTCTAGAAGAAAAGAGCACTTAGTTTATCTCATTTTGTTTCCTTTTCACTCCAGATCCTTGCTGCAAAGGAAACTGCTGTCAAATACTAGCCTGCCAGAGACAGACCATACTGAGCTGCATGACAGAAGGACGCCTCAACCACATCCTCGATGTCCTTCGCTCGCAGCAATCGTTGTCCCGAATGGATTATGAAACAATTACCTCTTACCCCACAGTGACTGGCCGTGCTCGGGCATTGTTGGACACTTGCCTTTGCCTTGGAGAGAGGGCAGCACAGGTTGTAGTGACTGTACTTCCAGTGACCAAATGTAGTGCTCTGGGACGAAGCAGCCATTGCCCAGACTGTCCTTCTAAGGGAAATAGGCTGCTGTTGTGACTTATTTTTTTGCAGTTTGTTACTGCGTCCGAGCGCTGGTAATTTGGAATGGCAATGATTCACGTTAATTCCTCATAACTCATTGACTGAAGTCAATCCTTCCTACAGCCTGTGATTTTAGTCCTCTAGTGGAAAAAGCTACCTGGACTAAAAGGTCAAGTCAACCACTGCCTGCAGAAATTGCCAAGACTGGTATAACAAATTCTAATTTGGACCTCAGAGATGGGAGGAGTGCAATGTGTGCCAGAGCAAATACAGTTCAAATCAGATGACACCTTATTTCCTTGATTTTTTTAGAAGAGAGGAAAATGGATCATGACTTTTTGGACATCACACTATAGAAGAACGGCTGTTGCTATATCCTTCCAAATACGAAGAGCAAACAACAGGGTACTGGATGAGGAGAAAAAAATTACGGCCTTTCATTGAGCTCATATTTGAGCCAGCTGTTAGAGTGAAAGGCTTAAGAGGATCAAGAAATATTTCTTCAACAGGGCCTTAAGTAAGACTTGCAAAATCAACATTATGCATAGAAATTATTTTCTTTTCACTCACAAATGGTCATGTGCTCTGAAAATGGGGCACTGATATCAGCATTTTGGAGAGGTGAGGCTTAAGGTATTTACTAAATGGAAAAACCTTATTACCTTACATCCGTGTAGTTGTCTAAGCATGTCTGCGGTTCAAATGTAGAATTCAAACAGCAAGAAGAGGTGCCAAGCTGATCATTTTGAAATGGTGGTTCTCCTGAACTGTGAAGGAAAGTAGTAAGATTATTTTAATTATAATGAATATGAGGTTATACAAGATGCTAGTTTTCTGAAGGCACAGTGGGATTCCTTCAAGCTTCATGGCACTGGATTAACATGGGAACTTGTTATACAATCTACGAGGGTTTTTTTAACGTAAATTCATTAAACTTTAAGACTGTCTTGAGATAACAAATTGTTGCAATTAAAAGCAATGTCTATTGGAATGTGTTGAAAATAGTTTTGCCTATTAAAGGAGCTAAACATCTACTTCACTGTTGAATTTTTTTCAATCTACACGTTAAATGGGAACCTTCAACAGTCTCTGCTAAAAAAGCATGTCTTGCTCATGAGGAAAAGAACTGCTGTCATGGTGTTTTGTTTGTTCAGAAGGCATAAAATAACCAGAGTAAAACAGAAAATCATTCACCTGTGAGAAATATTCACAGACTTTTAAGCAAGAAACTGGCAATATTGTTGAAACTTAATTATCAGCTTTCAAAAATTATTCCATTCAGTTGTTCTGCTGGACACTTTATACTTCTGTGAAAGATATGCCAGCTGGCAGGCTCTGCTGATTTTTTGTCATTAAGTTTTTGACATAGAAACAGTTTTGACTCTCTTCTTGAAACAGCTGCCTACTTGAGAATATCATTTGATGCCAGAACTAAGCCCAGTCTTAACTGTTAATTGCAGAACAGGCATCAAAACAATGGGAGCACAAGTTAACTATTTTTCCAGACATTTTTTCTCCTCATATTTAGCTTTCCAATTTAAGTATTTGTAATAGGATGTGACCTTAGAGTTAGATCATGCTTACCCAAACTTTTTAAAAGATAACCCAAGACGGCAGTTTATAACCAATTACAAAACAAAGGCAGATTGATTAATTCATGTTCAAAAGAGCCTGAATAGAATTCTTTAAATACATTGTTTAATGATTAACTCTATCCACAACTGGATTTCTTGCCACCTAGCTCAACTGATATCAATGTGTGAGTTTGCGATTTCTTTTTTTTTTGTATTGATACTTTGGCTGAAAGCATTATCATAGCTAGCTGTGCTACTGCCAAAGCCTTGCTATAAATGTCTGTAAGTTGATGTAGCCAAATGCATAGACTTCTTCATAGCTCCCCCTTGTGTAATATAAACATTTAAATTTGGGGGTTTATTGACAGTTGCAGCTGTTGGGAGTCTGGGAGCTGTTGGGAATGTGATATTTTTGAAGGGATTCTACTAGTTTATTGCAATGAAACTGCTGTTGATATAAAAAGTTTTGATACAAAAACAGAATACAGTGACATGTATTCTATTCATCTTGTCTCACCAAAAATACATACTTTTATATGGCCTACAATGTGTTGGCTATGTAACAAAGACATTAATTAATGTGGCGATCACTGATGTGAAATATCAAACTGCTTAAAGCTTATGGTACTCTGCTTGTACCCAAGCCAGGTCATTAGCTTTCTATGGTCCTTGCGTCTGTGTTCTGCAGTTCTCGATATCACAAAACCGTATCAATAAATGACACTGAGCAAGAGTAAAGATAGAAGAGTCAAACTGTTCCTTAGTATCTATGGGAAGAAACAAGGTTCGAGTGTGAAGAATGTCTAGAGTCCCGGGAAGGATATCTAAAACACGGGCAACTAGAAAACAGCAAATGGAATAATAAAAAGAAGTCACTTCAGGACAGATCATACAAAGTGACTAGCACAACTCTTTCTTGCAGTTACTCAGTAAAGACAAAACTAGAATTAATAGATGTTAAAAATGAGAAGTCATATTCAAATTCTATGAAGCTACTTAGATTTATGAAAGGAATAGCACGTGGAGTAGGCAGATGGTAATTTTTCTGACTTTATTGTAACATATTTTTCTTCTTGATGCTGGTTGCAGTTATCTTTTGCTGACTTGTAACAAGATGACTGTCCCTTGCCCTTTTTCCAATCTATACACCTTTATGTTAGCTGGGATGATTCCTCCAATATAAGAATATCTGCACTAGCATTTGTTTGAGGTTAATTTGTGGAAAATTAATCTGAGGTACTGGAATGAAATGTCTATGAGATTGATCCTTTCAGTAGAGAGCAAAACAAACAAAGCTATAAATATCACTCTATAGTTGTCACCACTGCCCGTTAAAAACAGTTCTCAAGAACAACACAGGAAGACAAGAAGTGCATATTCATAAAATACTAACCTACAAATTTTCAAAAAATGCATTAATGGACTACTAATGTACACAGAAGATTTTTACACCAACTTAGTAGCCTAAAATGTACAAAAACTAAAGCGCTAACCAAAACATAGTAAACCTCAAGGATTCTTATTTTATTGTTTCAAGTCTGAATTGTACATAACCTTGTAAACATTTTCATGTTTGCGCAGGTTTAATCACTTGAGCTATTCATGTGAAGATTTGTAAGGAAGGTTAAGTGCATATACTTGTGAGACTGGTATGTTAGGGAAGGAGGCAAACATCATCAAGGCAGGCATAGAGACTTTAGGTTTCTTTACTGCTCTTTATTGATTATAGTGCTATACAACTACTAACTATGCTCTCCTCCGGTAATATATTTTGCCTCTAAGACTGCTGGGGTTTTTTATGCCTGAAGAAATCTTTTCTTGCACGATATTCCCCTTCATTCTTTTCCTGCTCCCTATCCAAAATATTACACTGGAGCTCAAAAGGCCTTAGCATAGTTTTGATTTTGTTCTTTATCAAAGGAAGTAATCCCTTTCCTGGTACTACATTCCCTTTACTGCGTGCAACATGGTTGACTTGACAGCTGGTATATGTCAGCCGAGTGCAACAAAACTCGTGCATTTTGAAGGTAAGTCCACCATAAATTAAACTGCCTGATAAGGCCTGAAAACAACATATTTAATGAGTTATTTGTGTTACATTGAAGTTAGCATAGCTGCACGAATCCATTAATTGTACAGTTAAATTCCGTATGTGTTGAAGAAAGGCTGCTGGTAGTTGCAGCATTGCATTATGCTTCATCCCAACATGATAAAAATGGTAGACAAGAAGCTCAGATGTATTATTTCCAGCTCTTGTGCTGAGATGACAGAAATTTGCGACCAGTATTTCATGCCTTTATTTCTCTTTGCCAGTGTCCTGGTTTGAGGTAAAACAGGAGCAATTTTGTTCGCTAACTTTACTTTATAGCTAGGCCTCTTCTAACCACTGAAATTAGCAGCAGGTTGTGCAGACACTGTTCACTCTGAGTGGTAAGACCTATGTTTATAGTTGATGCCATGGAATAGTTTGCAGAGAGGCTCTTGCTTATACTTACTGCTCTAACCCCCAAGGGCAGCTCACTTTATTTGCCCCATTGGAGGGTCGGAAGCAGAAAAGCGCAGAGGGGTCCCACCTGCAGAGAAGAGTGGACAGGACAGGTGACCCAAACCTGACCAACGGGGTATTCCGTCCCATCTGCCTCATGCTCAGTGTAAAAGCTGAGGGGTCAAAGGGTCAGCTCTCTCTTTCGCCAACGGCTGGCGTCTGAGGAGGACTCTGTTCATCTGCCTTTGATCCCGATCCTGAATCCAGATCAGAATCCAGTTCCAATCCATCACTGAGTCCAGTTTGGAACTTCCCCAGCGCCAGCCAGTGACATGACTGTCAACCTTGGAGCCTGATACAGTTTTGTATATATTTCATTATTAATATTTCATTAAAGTAGTTTAGTTTCTTCTAAACTCATAAGTCTCTCTCTCTTCTTCCTCTCTCTGAAGAGAGGTAGGGGAGAGCATCTATCGCTCCGCCTGAGTTGCCAATCCAGCCCAAACCACGACAGCCAAGAATACAGCCCAAGTAAGAGTTAGAGAGATCTAAAGCCTCAAACTGCCGTTTTTGCTGGGCTTTACAGTTTACCTTTCCTCTTCCACAGAAGAAAGAGATGCAGCAGTTGAATAAACTGTGGACTCTTTCAACCAGGCTGCATTAAATGGCAGTTAAGTGATTTAGAATTAAAACTTCTTCACCCCTTGAAATGTGATAACATTCCAAAGTATTTCAACACCTATTTCCAAATGTTGGTCTCGAACTTTCCCCATAGCAACAGCAATATCCATACGAGCAGAAAGCACAGCTGAATTTCACCCTTTCAGAAGTAACCTGGCTGTACTCCAGAAAGTTCTGTACAGTTAGTCCTTTCTTTAGATTTCAAGGAAAAGCTTTCATATTAGGTAACAGAATGATTACCAACATTATATTTGTTTCCCTTTGTTGAGCAAAAA